TCTATCCAGGATCTCCTACACAGCCTCTCTGAGTGGTTGACAGTTGTAGCCAGGCACCATCTAGCTCTTCTGGTCTCACGGTCATATAGGCTGAGGATTGTATGGTCTACCAGTCCCTTGGACTAATTGTTTCCATGTGTCTTTGGTTTTCTTCATTCTTCTTTGCTCTGGATGAGGACAGACCCATCATTGTACCTAGATGGCCGCTTGCAAGCTCCTAAGATCCCAGTCATTACTTGCCAAAGTAGGATGTGGAACAATGTTTTTGTGTAGTATGTTATGCCAATTCAGCTTGATGTCCCCAAAAGCATCAACTCTTCAATCATCAACTCTTCTTCAGTCTTCCTTATTCATTGTCGAAACTTTGCCCTATGTAGTGCCAGAAGGTGATCCCCTCAGGTTGGAAGGCACTCAAAATATGACTGAGGAAGAGATGCCTCCAGTACAACAAAGTAGTTAGCAAACACCTTACCCCTGCCCCATTTTCAGCTATGGGACTTTGAAGAAAGAAACTTAGTTACCTGTACCTCAGTTGCCTTGTCTGTAAAATGGGAATCATTTATAAGGGTGCTTTTCTTATAGGTATGTGAGGTTTCAGTGGGAGGATATGTATGAAGTGGTTCTCACAATCCCTGGTACAGTGCTCAGGGGAAGGGTATTTTTATCACATAGGACTGCTACTGGTAGTGGTGCTGCAGCTGGGATATAGTGCTCCCAACTGCCTCTCTCAAAGGCTAGGATCCCTGGGCTCAGTAGCACAGATGATGATCTTCTGGTGAGCATGACCCTAAGTGTAACTTGGACATTTTTGCAATAGGAACAAAAATAGAACCAAGAAGTAGACTCAGAATTCTATGTTCAGTTCACCACCCCTGATTTCTCATCACCACTGTCACAGTTGTTGACACTTCTACTACCCATATTTGTTGGGAGTGGGGTAGACTGCCTCCAGCCAAGATTGGGCAAGGGGTCAGGCAGGAGGAGCATACCTATTGTCCCTAAAAAGTGTGTCAGTGCTCAGGCACCTGTGCCTGGTGGGGTTGACCTTAACTAGGAGCAGTGTTTTCTGTGCATCCATGAATTAGAAAGGTTCTCTTTCTAGCCCTGTTCTAGCTCTGTTTTCCCTGGAGGGGCTGGCATGGCACCAAAGGGAATGCATAAAAGAGAATGTGAATGTCAAAGAGAAAACAAAGAAAGAAATGTAAAAATATCACAGTCTGGATTTGTTTTGTTTTTTTAGAAATAGACAAGCTGATACTAAAAATCATATTGAAATGCAAGGAACCCAGAATAGTCAAAACAATCTTGAAAAAAGACAAAGTTGGAGAACTCACACCTCCTGATATAAAAAGTTACTACAAAGCTACAGTAATCAAGATTGGGTGGTCCTGGCATAAGGATAGACAATAGAATAGAACAGAATAGAAAGTCCGGAAATAAACCTGTATGCTTACTGTTAATTGATTTTTGACAAGGGTGCAAGGCAGTTCAATGGAAAAGAATAGTCTTTTCCACAAAATTTGCTGAAGCAACTAGATAGCCATGTGCAAATGAATGAAGTTAGACCCCTACCTCATACCATATTAAAAAAAAAATCAACAAAAAAATGGATCAAAATTTAAATGCAAGGGTTAAAATTATGAAACTCTTAGAAGAAAACAGAATTTTAAATCTTTATGACCTTAGATTAGGCAATGCTTTCCTAGATTTAACACCAAAAGCACAAGTGACAAACTGCTGTATAGAAAATGAATTTGCTCTGTAAACTTTCACCCAAATCATCATAATTTTTTTTTT